CCCCCCCCCCCCCCTGCACCCCTCCACTTGTTTTCATCCTTCTGAGAATTTCAGTTTGTTTCTCTTTAAAAGTTTTGGCTCATGGATCCTCTCACCAATTTGTACTGATCTTCGTTGGGGAGGTGGGACAATTTCTGGAAATGTATCCTTGTAGGCTCTCAAACGTTTGTATTTTTCATATAAGCAAAAAGATCACCTCCATAGATCAATTTGGAGGCACAGTGGCCTCGTGGGTAGTGCGCTTGACTTCAGATCGAGCAGTCCGGGTTCAAACCATGGCCGGGGACATTGCGTTGTGTTCTTGGGCAAGACACTTTACTCTCTCCACCCAGGTGTATAAATGGGTACCAGCAAATTTAATGCTGGGGGTAGCCCTGTGACGGACTAGCATCCCATCCAGGTGGGAGTAGAAATACTCCTAGTCGCTTCATGCTACAGAAACGGGGATACATGTAAGCTTCAGTCTGATTGGCCACTTGGCCTGTATTCAGATTGTACCTTTTACCTAACATAGATCAATTTATCATGCTGAAGTTAGTATTTAAACATGTGAAGTTTCATAAGAATCCATTAGAAAGTCAAAAAAAGTGGGACCCCAAACTTGCTATTTTCTATGAAGAAATGTATGTATTACCCCCAGGTATACATTTCTTCATAAAATTGGCAAGTTTTGGGTCCCCTGTTTTTATAAGTTTGCAATGGATTCTTATTAAACTTTGCATATGTACTTAATTTGGCATGATAAATTAAGCGGAGAGGCTCATTTTTGTTTAAATGTAAATATTGGAAAAGCATGACATTGGTAAAAAGGTCCACTCACCAGCCCTGATGATGAACAACTTTCTTCTTGTTAGTGTCAAAATGGCCTGTCGCTGTGAAACCGAGGGGACTGGGCACCAGTAAGAACCTCACAGGGCAATATGATCTTCAACTGTCCAACAACTCTTTATCATTGGTCAGAAAGGATACCAAAGAGTCAATGATTGAGCTGGAGCTTGTCAGTGTCAGACGTTGTGGACACACGGACTGTTTTTTCTTCATGGAGCTTGGACGGTCCGCTGTGACAGGTGCTGGAGAACTCTGGATCCAAGTTGATGATCAGATTATTGCGCAGAACATGCATGACGCTATACTGGGGTAAATGTTTTCTTACATATATTTCAATTAAAATGTTACATCACACTAGAAGTTTGCAGATCTTCAACAGTTGCTATCTTTTAAACAATCATTTCCGTGAACGTGTTGCAAAAAATTATAAAAAGGAAATTGTTGAGTCATGTATTTGCTCACAAAACACGTGAGAGCTCTCAATAAATTCGTGAGCCATCTTGATGCAAGTTTGCATTTTAGTTTGGTGAGCCAATGTTACACAGCCTGCATATTTTTTCAGAGACAGGCATGAGAGTGCAGCGCATTAAGAATTTCAAAGAATTCCAAACATATCTGGAGATGTCCAAAGACTCTGAAGGATCTTCAAGAGATTTGTGATGAGATTTCAAACATTTTCCTGGTCCCAGAGCCATGATGTTGCCAATATGTTCCCTCATAAAATTATAGGAGAATTGAGAGAAGTGTATTGTCATTTGCATGGACTCTTTTTTTTTGTATTCGTTTGAGCTTAGATATTTTTTAAAAAGTGTGTCAGCTACCTGTAATACCTCTAATTGGGCACAAGGCAAGAGAAAATAGTCTGTTGGTGGCAGATCCAAGCATTGGACCCTCGTGCTTAAGACTTGCGCCCAATTATTATTAAGCAATGAGAGTTGGAAGGTATGCAGTGGAGCAGGTCAAAATACAGTCAAACCTCTATTAACTGGCCACCTATTAAGTGGCCACCCCTTGTTTAGCAGTCAGATATCAAAGCCCTTATTGTCAGTTAAGAAAATGAAACCCCTATTAACTGGCCAGCTCTATTAGGTGGCCACAACTGCCTTTTGGTCATCCCCATGAGGGTTTACCTATTGTCTTTACCACTTTTAAATGGCCACCCAAAATATTTATTAATAGTACATGTAGTTTGCCTGTCTTTGGAAAAGGTGATGACAGATAACAGTCTGAAATAGAAAGGGACACCTGATAAAAGCATTCAAACACATGTTCATCATGATTGTCTTGACATTAGTCCATATTCACTATTAAGCAGATAACTCAAGAGTAAAAAATACTCAAACTACAACAACCCCTATTAAGCAGCCACCTCCCATTTCCCCGAGGGTGGTCCCTTACAAGGGGTTTGTTTGTGCGGAGACAGGATTTTAGAGAAGGGGGTTAGGGATATGGACAGCCATAGGCGCTCTCCTGTAGGGGGGTCGGGGGGGGGCATCCTTCCCCAGAAAATTCCTAAAATTGAACTTCTCAGAAATGGATCTCCGCCATTCTGAGGTCGCCAAGTCAGCATGTTATTTTGTCTCCCCCATTGATCCGCCCCAGGTTTAACTGTACAATATACAAGAACAAGTGTTGCAATTCTTCACACTGTTATGTAGATTAAGTACTGTAACTGTGCGTGGTTCATGATGTGTGCATATCACGACCTAAGTATGATGGAGATTGCCAGGAGGGCAATAGAGGAGACCACATGCTCGGGAGGAATGTAATTTCACAGTACACAGTTTAGTATGTGTAACATTCTGTAAATTGAAATGTTTGTCTTATTCAAATTGACTGATGTGTACCTAGAAATCTAACTACGGGCCAAGCACAACTATTCTTTAATTTGCAGTTTAATGTATTACTTGAAAACCAGGATAGGTCATTTTAAACAATAAAATAAATTAAGTTGCCAATTGATGTATGTTTATTTGTCTTAGGGCCATGCACAACATCTCAACATCGGACATTCAACCAGTGTCCAGACGGCGCTGCTCAAGTGAAGGGAAGAGACAGAAATCCAGACCACGCCCTGTCTCGGCTGTTATTTATCCACTGAATCGTCGCCGCTCTGGTACCGAGCCAAGTTCGTCTCCTGAAGCCCTGTTTCATGCCGGTTCTTCGAATTCCACGAGGAATTTATCAGAAGGTGATTCGAGTCCCAGAAGCAAGACACCTTCTGTTTTAAATCGCTTATTGCCACGAAGAAGGTCAAAGGAAGGCAAGTTCGCCATGTTACTTATCACTCAAGTCTTGTTCGATTACCGTAAACTTCCGCTTATGAGCCCTAAGCTTGTGCGACTTCGCAAGGGGTTTTGGACGATTCTTATAAATTGGAGGGCTTATAAGCGGAATAAAAATACCGTTTCGAAATGAGCTACACCAGTGTTGATCAAAATATGTTTTTCATAGACTGGTTTTCAGTTAAGCTTGAAAACATCAGACTAAGTCGAAGTCAATTCATTTTATACTGAAAGGGGGCTTATATCCGGGGGGCTCATAATTGGAAGTAATATTTTGTTTACAGGGAGATGGACCTATAACCGGGGGGCCCTTATAAGTGGAGTGGCTTATAAGCGGAAGTTTACGGGTAACAGCACGCTTCAAAGACTGGCAGCCTCTGTTAAGGTCGGCACACACTAAGGAAAATGATTCGGGGACATGAAGCGGGGCCATGTTGCAGCGACAGTTTTCCTTAACATATGTGATATGCCCATTTTTGCGAAAAAGACTTCTTGCAAGGGCAAACTGTACCCTCCGTAACGTGTTGCATGAAATTTAGCTGCTTTAAATTCGTGCATCATGAAGCAAGGGCAAAATGATCTCAATTTTCAATGTCGCATCGTGTACGCTGCTCCTGCAAACTCTCCTCTTCTACGACACATTTTTATGCCTCAATCCGTTTCGTGTGCACCAGCTTACGTACTGTCCCTGCAACATGCGTTCTAAGCTTAC